TATATATATATATATATATATATATATATATATATATATATATATATATATATATATATATATATATGTTTATAGACATCTCGAATACCTCATGTAAGACTTAATCCTCCCGAAATTGATCGAGTGCAATGAATAAGTTTTTTTTACATAATAACAAAATTATATTTTTTATAAGCTACTGCCAAAATAGACAATACTGTGTTCAATCATTGTATAATTTCAAAGACATACAGAACGTATGTCTTTATTGCCAATGTAAGATCCAGTTGTCTCACATCTTGACGTTCCTATCAACTGCAGATACCTCAAATTAGCGCGGTTCGTAAAACTTATCTGGGACATGTATCGTGAGAAACAGTATCGACCGCAGCTATTGCAGGCGGTTAATACTTAAGCAGCGCTTCGTATTCGAGATTAATAGCCACTAAATCACTTTGTGAGAACGTGATTCATGATAATAATGACGCGAACATATCATGATTCACTTCGTGCTCCCGGTGATTGTTACGTTTGACACTTGCAGAGGGGCGATTTATTGCAATTGTCATTGCGAATGACAATTCATTGCAATTTTATATCTGGGCTACTAAACCGGGCTTATTGGAAATCACAGTGCAATTTGAAATGCATCCACTTGCCGTTCGCGAAATAAATATGTGCAGCAGTTTTTGTAATAATCGTGAATGAGATGCGAAATGAATTATGAGCGATTGTACACTTTATTAATTTAGTACACAAATAAATAATAAAAAATTGTTCTGCACCTTTTAAAAAAAAATGAAACGACACGTTCAGCTAGGAAATGCTTAACAGCGGAACAGGAAACGCAAATTAATTGATGCTTAGATATCAATTATGTACGATGTATGATTGATGCTAATTGTTGTCGGTCATTATGATCGTGTTAGTGTCGCAGTGTCAATTTTAAGCAAGCTATAGAGAGACACAATGAGAACATTAAATAATAACAGATATAAATTAGAGCGAAGAATGTCGCTTCCTATCCGTGATTAGAAGCACGCTATCTTCGCTATCTCTTACGTGCGCTAGAAAGTACATATTTAATAATGCGGCGATCTCGAGAGTGAAGGTAAAACCTATATATTAGAGATGCAAGGAAAGTTTACGCGCGTACAAACACGTAGTACCACCGTTATTTAGAGGACGCTAATTGCGGAGGTGAGTTCACGCATAAAGTTTATTAGCCTCGAGCAAACGATATCGTATTTATTAATAACGCTTGATTTATTCCAGAGATAGTCAAACTCTATCATTCGGTTTGAAATAAATTGCTACCTCGTTGGCGATCTATCGGGACATCTCTAAAAACCGAGAAACCGGACGCAACGTGTGTGAATTCTAATCATTGAAAAAATTTTGCAGTCATAGCGAAAATTATTTCATGCATTATTACATAACAAAAAATTAGTTAAGATAGATAAATGACCAGCAAACACTGCGTTATTGCGTATTTGTTTTGTATTCAATCAATATAAGTGACAGAAACAGAAATTCTATCTGGACCATTTGTGAAATTTAACAAGAAAGTTTCTCTGTGGCGGCCATCCAGATTAAAGCCAGAGACACACTTCTTAGAAAAATTGACTGTGGTAGATAAAAACGATTATTTACGAGAGCCAAACGAATATATAATCTTCACACCAACCTAAATTTGTTTGCAGATATTGCTGGAATGTTATTGCTATAAATTCTACGACAATTTTCTAATAAATACAAAAGACAACGATATGTTTTGACTGTGACATTTAAAATTCTATCTGGATCAGCATTGAAACATGAAACATTGTTTTAAGCGTATAATTAGCTGTGAGGAATCGATTGTACGAGTGATACTGTCGACGTGTGCGCGTGTGCAATTAGAAAA